TATATATATATATATATATATATGTTAAAATGGCTTGCATTGAGAAATTCAAATTTGGAAGAGTGAGGAGAAGTGAGGTTCACTTCAATTCACCCACAGACTTCAATTCACCCAAATACTTCAATTCCTCCATAGAGAAAAGCTACAAACAACAAACATGATCTCGCCAGAATAATAAACACTTTAATTCCTCCATAGAGAAAAGCGTCAAACCGCAAACATCATCACTAGAAAGTTGAATGCTTCAAATCCTCCATAGAGAAAAGCCAAAAACCGCAAACATCTTCAAAAACAACAAAAAATCCAGAGCATTGCCAAAACAACAAAGATCAAAGGGCCAAATTTCCAAAGAGCTAAGGGCCAAAATTGCAAAGATAAAGGGCCAAAACAATAAAGACTACAAACAACTAAAATTCAATGTAAGAAATAAATACAATCAGACATTACCCCCATTTGAAAGCACATATTCATAATTTTCTATGGAGCATAGCCACAACTTGGAAAGAGCATGTCGTGTGGCTCAAAGTCACAAATCACAAAAAATAATGTGCATAGACCACAAAAGAGAGAGTAAAAGTTACCAGAAGACGGGCAGAACCTGCCTCTTTCTGGAGGGTGAAAAATTTATTATATTAAAAAATATAAATAAATAACATGTAAATCACAATTTTAAAAAGAAATCTTGTATTCCATTATCATTGATAAATTGAAATAAATCACAAAATTTTCAATCTATTTTGTATATTTTGATAATATTGCATAACAGCTTCATTCAGTACTAAATTAAAGACTTATTTTTCAATATATGGTACAAGATAGTCATTAAACCAATCGTCATTTATTCAACTACGCAATTGATTTTTGATAATCTTCATTGCAAAGAATGTTTCTTTTTGTTGTATTTACAACTTTTATTGTAATTATGAGTAATTTTATATTTTAGTTTTATTTACTTATATGTCATAGTCCACTTCTATAAAAGAAACTTAAAGGGCTTATAAGAGTTGCAATGCAAACAAGCAGAGATCCTAGGTCACCAAGAGATCACTCCGCCCATTGCTCTCCTCACCCCATCTCAATCCTAACTAAAATCAACTGATAAAAAATGGCAACCAGAGAGTCGGAGAGGCAGTGAACAATCAGAACAAAGATCTTTGAATGTCGATCGAATCGTTGTAGCCTCTTCCCGATAGCCTTGTGAGTTGTGGCGGCAGTTGTGACCCTCTTCCCAATCAAGTGAATGTGACAAACTCGACATATCTCTCAATTCTTAATTGTTTACATGTCACATCTAAACTTCAATTTTTACATATACCACCTTTGGTATAAATATAAAAAATAAAATTTAAATGTTAGATATGTAAATACATAGAAAATTGGTGGTATGCATGTAAATGCCCTTAATAGGAAAATATACTAAATATTGAGTTAAGTTTCATTACTCTCTCTTTCTCGGCTATTTTAAAATTGAACTCTAATAATCCTCGAGAATAACATATTTGCTATTATGGATAATTTTTTATTGTAATTTATTTGAATATCGTATGATAGTTTTCTAAATATTGACAGATTTGGAATTATATAAACATGGATGTGTGTTTCTGTATGTCTATATATATAGTTTTCTAAACATGACTGCTGTCTACAGTTTGCAGCCTGCTGCCAAGCAACGCCCGTAGCCGCTGATGACAACCGACCGCTGTCTCAGTCGCCAATAGTCAACATCACAACCTGCCTTCTACCACCTACCGCCGACCACCTATCACCACCGTCCTCTGCGTACCGTCATCGGCCAACACATTACTTTTTAAATACATTGAAATGCATTGCCATCATTTTACTTAAAAAAAAAATGAAATGCAATTGTTTTACACCACATCAAATAATTTTTAAGATATTTTAAATATGATGTGTTCCTTCAACATTGCATTCATTTTACACTGCATTAATTTTTCAGCCGATCCGATCAAAGAACTCGAGTTAACACAACTTTCTTTGCTTTCCAAACCACGATTATATTTTGGCTACTTTTAAAAATATTAATGATGAAACGCTATTTTTTACAACTAAATTTAATAGTAAATGTGGTTGTAAATGTAGGAGAAAGTATTTTTCTACAAAAAAGGTTGAGCTAATCATAAATATGTTTCTTTTCAAAATAAGTTAGACAATAGATTTCTTATGATAAGGATTTAGGCTATTTCAGCAGCTCTTAACTCCAAACAGCCAGCTTTTCACCACATAAAATTCTAAAAAATATATAAAAAATTAGTAGGCAAATATAAAATTGACAATGACCTAAAAAACAACACAATGAGAAAGTAATCCCATCATTTAATTAGCTCTTTTTAAATAGTTATTTTTCATAAAATAGATTTATAATCACCTTTATAAAAAAAATATAATCCCTCATAAAAATAAGGCCAACAAGAGTCATGTTAGATCCCAAATAAGATCTAATACATGCATGAATCACTCTAATTAAAGTTCGAATAATCTAAAATCTATTCAACCAAAAAAAAACCTGATGTTGGAGTTAATCTAAACAATAATAGGAAAATAAATATTATAAGTGAAAATATTAAATAGACGATTACAACCAAACACACTGAAATGAGAAATAACAACAACACAACACAAACTCACACTAGAGTTTGATCCGTGGGAGCTCGACCAAGTAGTATGAAAGAAGTGGTAGGTGGTACGAATGAGATGGTGGAAGAGCGACAGTGAATATAGGTGGTTGGAAAGGCTAGGTGTGGCCAGAAACAACAAGGGGGATGGCTAGATAGCGAATCGACAACAATAGAGAGTGGTAAGGAAGAATGTGAATTACTGTAAATAAAAAAGGGGAGGTTGGGACAACAACTCAACAACGAGAGATAATGGTAAGGATGGCTGGGAAGAGGGTTGTGGATTGCTGGGAACAACAAAGGGGAGGACTAGACAGTAGCCAAATAACTGCGAAAGGTGGTAAGGGCGATTGGAAAGATTGCGACAGTGAGGGAGACGGGTTTGATAAGGTAGCAACAAGAGAAACTATAGAAAAATTCTCGGGAAGGGCTGTTTGGTGATTGCAGTGGGGAGGAAGGATGCCATCAGTGGAGGGAAGGTTGTGGTGAAAGGGGAAGTCGAGGATGATCAACACATCAAAAAGAGAAATAACTGGAGCACCACTCGCTCTTGAATATATTAAAATAAAAAAAAATAAATTGAAAACGTAAACCACAAGAATCAAATATATAAGCTCTAAATAATTAGGATTGAGTCCACGACTGAAAGGAGACGCCAAATCCAAAAGGAGGGAGCCAGTCAAATCTCCCTCTTGCCTGGACCAATCGATCCAGAAGCTGGAATGCAGGACGAGAACCTCACACCCCTCACACCTACGTTAGTCTTCTAGGGTTTGGGAAGCTTCGAACTCATCAATTGAAGATTATGTCTGCACACTGAAGAAGACAGAGCTACTGTAACCTTTTGGGGCTAAAAAATTTTCGACTAATACCCTAGAAGCACCTGGATCCCACTATCGACTATATTGTGCTTCAAAACACGAGTTTTCTCAACTTGTGAGCAATCATTTATATCGATCCAGCCATATGGGAGTACACTGCTGATTTGAACTGAGACTTCGAAGTGTGCTTTGCAAATTCTTTCAAAGGCAGTCCCAGGTTGGCTCATACCTATTTGACATGAGGATGTATTGAATTCCCTATAATGGTGGCACCATGGCATTAAAGTACCAATCATGATCTCCTGAAATGCTCTCGGTAAGGTATCAATCATGCATACAAAAATCAAACCTTAATATATTATGTAAATAGTCATAATGATAACTCATTAAATCCATATTCTAAAATACTGGAACAAAGTGATTTTTTCACCAAGAATAAAATAACATGTAGAACAATTTAAGTGGATTTGAGTCTAGAATAGCTAATGTAAATAATAATTCCAGTGTGAGGTATCATATGCTGCCTTTTTTTCTTAAAACTTGATCAATGATCAAATTTCATGAGATTATCAAACAGCACCACCAAATTGTCTTTAACTTGCAGATCATATCTTGCATTTGAAAATGATGACAGAAAATTATATGGAGAATGAATTTGTTATGCCTGCATAGCCTAAGGACTATTTTATCTTTTATTAATTTAAGGGCAATTTCTTCTTTATTTATTATTTTTGTTTGATATAAATAAGACAAATATGTTTAGGGTTAGGTTATGCATGAGATTGCGCATTGAGTATTAAGATTAGGCTTTGGAGGAGATCGTCAACCTCTCGAATTGTAGGATTTGGAAGAGATCGTCTATCTCTCAAATTGTAGTTGTTTATCTTTTATTTGTTGTGTTGTTTATGTTGTGAAGAAATAATTTTTTTTGCCCTAATTTTGGTATGAAAATCTGTATCGAATCTTATCAAATTAGTATCAAAGCATTCATCATGGAAAGTAGAGTTTCTAGGAAGCGACTTTCATCGATTCGAGCCTTCATCGTGCTTCAACAAGTGGTGCATCAACAAACATATCAATGTATATAGTGGCAAACATTCACTTGCAAGCTTGCGATACATATCGAGGCAGAATAGGAAAACATCAAGTCGCCCTCTGTCTACGTGATCTAAAACACAATTGGAGCTAGAGGGAAAGCTACGACGAAATCATGATATCCTTCACAACTGAATTCCACGCTACAATCATGACACTACGAAAAGCCAATGCAGGATCACGACGTACACAATCCCGCAACTCCAACATTTCTCCTTCATTCGCTGTGTCTAGTAATACATTCACATCTTGCGAGTGATACATAAACGATAGAGCTAGCTTGGGAAGGCAAGGAAGGGATCACAACATGCCTCCATGCAACGAGATTCAACGACGGGATCACCACGTATAGAGACCTAAAACTTCGATCTTTCTCCTGCATGCAACATACAAGATTTATGGAATTAGAGAAAGATCGTGGTCTACCTCTTTACGACGCGATTCGAGCTAGCAAGAATGACGGGATTTGGCCATAGTGACGATAACTCAATATGAGCTACTATCAGGACAATTGAGAGGGAGATTTCTGAAGTAGTATTAGAACAAATGTTCATGAAGGGTCTAAAGCTTGACATGCAACACTCCAATTGTTGAGCCTGTAGGGATTGGGGAAAAAAATTGAGCAAGCTAGAAGGTATAGGACAAGAATTAGATGAAGAAGACCAACAGAAGCAACACCATGAGAGAATTATACAAGAGTAACTCAAAAACCAAGACACTGAGGGGGCGAAGGGTGCATGTTGGTGGGGGGGGGGGGGGGTTGGTGCTGCAAAGGAGAACATGTGGTCCCGTCCAGATGTCAACTTCAAACGTTTTATAAAGGCTAAGATTCAAAATAAGTGAACAAAGGAGTTTTCTTTTCTATGTGATGAAGCATTTACCGCAGGGCACCATTGGGATGATTAGTTTCTCACATAAAGTGAGGCAAAAGAGTTTGATCTAGCAACCGTTTCCTTTTTATCTACCTTGAGGACAAAGTATTTTTTTAAAAGGGGAATACTGTTACTTTAACTTGGCATAAGACCAATTTTGTCTTTTATTAATCTAAATGCAATTTAATTTTTTTTGTTATTTATTATTGTTTAATATAAATATTTCTAAGTTTAAGGTTTGTGTTATGCATGTCTTTAGTCTTATGGTTAGAGTTCGAGAGAAAATTCCCAACCCTCGAATGGTAGGATTTGAAGGAGATTGTCAACCTCTCGAATTGTATGTGTTTATTCTTTATTCAATGCATTGTTAATTTTATTGAAGAAAGAAATTTATTTTGCCCTAATTTCCATATGAATATGTTTCCATCAGAAAATTGACAAGCAAATTATTTTATCATCCAGAATTCATTAATCAATGCCAGCTTCATCAAGCAATTGAAGTAAAACAACCACATCTCTCATTAATCATGAATCGACTTTCCATAGAACTTTCCTTTTCATTGAACAGATGATGGTCCAGCATCAACATGTCAATCTGGGCATTTCAGTCGATAATCAAAATTGTTTTCTCTACAAATTTACACAATGCGAACAATAAATAAATCAATTTACAAATTGCACGAAAGGCAAGATTGCTTATCTGTTGAGGACGAATTGCCTGCAGCTCCAATAAAGTAGGAAGTTGGTAAATGGTTGCAATGTTGTAGGTATTCTACGTATATAGCTATAGCATGCAAAATTTTCAGCAGCCATGTCAGAGAATTGATCTCATGCCAGCGGGTCCTGCAAAAAGATTTTAATTGCAGGACTATTACAGAACAGAAAAAACCTAAAATAAAAAAGTTTCATCATTAATTGATATTATTCAGACGAAAAAAATTCAAAAAAAAAAAAATTCAATCATGCATTGACACCAGAGGAACTACAGCAGGTAATCTTTGAATGGAGCAGTTAGAGTCAAGTGCATAAAAATTTTCGAGAAAAATGTCATAATTATCCCCACTTTTGCAGGGCGGCCATTTCAATCCCAAAGTTTATGACAATGTCAAGTTAGTCTTCAAACTCTTTTAATATGAGTTGAAATAGCCCAGCTTGAAGACTATTTTGGCTCCCATTAAAACAGTTTGGAGGACTAGATAAGCTTATCATGACAAATTTACTTCCAGATGTTGGAGAAGCATCCAGGAGAGTCTCGAGACTAGGTTAAACTTCAGTACAATATTTCATCCGTATTGATGGTGATTCTGAGAGGATCATTCAAGTGCAAAATAATCTATTGAGATTATGTGCACTTCATTTTGAAGAGAGCTGGGAAGATCATATTTCTCTAATTGAGTTTGCTTATGATAATAGCTTCCAGTTGACTATTGATATGACACCATATGAGAAATTAAATTATATTATAGGAGTGCAGGGCCCCTTTCTCTGCCACTGCTTTGCTGTCCGGCCTTCCCGATCATCTCCCAGCATGCCGTCATCCCCTCTCCTACAACTGCCCTTGCTGCTCAGCCCTTCCGACCACCTACCAGCCCCTTGCCGACCCTTCTTCTGCAGCAATCATTATTGTCCAGCCCTCCAAACCATCAACCAGCACCGTACTAACCTATCTCTGCACTCCCACTTGTCGTCCAACCTCCCCCCAGCCCTACCAACAACCCCCTATCCTGTCCACCTCATCCCCAGTCATCGACTATTCTCACACTCACCGCCCCCCCCTTACTCCACCTAACCCCTAACACTACTACTCAGTAACCAACTCGCCGACACTACCATCATCGAGTCTTTCTCTTCTAGCCCTGACTATAAATGATTATTCTGACTTATTATTCAATTTGATCAACTAAAAAATGAATGTGAATGATTTGCATATTTATACTTATGTACTACTCAGGTATGTTCTAAAAAAAAGATATTGAATGATATTTAGAATGTAACAAAATGATTTATAATAAACTTGTATGTGCATGTTTGACTATGATGGAACACCCTTGTTGGTACTATTAGAGGAACACTAATGTACTCATGCACATAAATGAAAAAATATTAATATCGATGTTCTTAATTGACACAAATTTTTAGATGATATTCCCAGTGAAGGTTGTATAGAAATGAAATGGCATTGATATGATAATGATATAGACTCCTTTAAAAAATTTATATTGATTTATAAAAAAGCTTAACTGGCATGCATATTATTTTTTTCTTTTCCTTGTTTTGTTGTAGTTTAGAAGCACAAGATTCACTGACTCGTTTAGCTCAGAATTGATTTACTAATTTTTCAGGTTTAATTAAACTATTAAAATATGAGCGATAGACAAGAAAATGTTTATAGAAGACACAGTCAACCATCAACGACGTAAATTTTAATTGCACCGTTTTAATTTAATTTGTAGTGACACGTTCATCTATTAAATTGAATGTTAATATAGAAAATTTAGTTCACACCGTCCAACCATCCGTTCCCACCTTGGTTCACTCTAAGCACTGGGCCGGATCGTGATATTATTAGCCTCAGCAGGCAAATCATTTATGAAGGATATTAGATGCCCAACATGTTTTTGAGAAACTGATTTACAGGATTTTTTCAGTTCCATAAATAGGCAAAACAAGCAATCACACACTGTAAAATTCCTTGCAAATTCCTTATTTTTCTAGTCTATCTTCAAGATTTTTTTTTTACAACCTGGCAAGTTGATTCAAATGTTCCAAGATAGTAAATTTTTTGCATGTTCTCCATTTTAGAAGATATTATTTAATTTAATTGCCTGCAAAAATTCACATGCCTTTAGGTGGTTGTGCACAAGTGCATAAATGTAGCAGACTTCATTTTGATTTACCACAAAATATAAAACAAAATTACCTTGAAACAAATGGTTAGAAACCACCCATTTGCTATCTCTGGGATATTGCAGAGTATTCAAATAATAGACGATTGGACGGAGAAGATTGGAAAAGAACACGGAGACGATCTGTAAGCTGATAAATTAAAGTCCACTGCATAGCCATTTCAGAATCCTTCATTTGTCGAACCACCGATGCCTGCAAGTTAATGACACAGTAAGAAAATGGCATTTGATAAGAAATAGAATAGACAATATAGTCTTAGGCATACATAAGGGACCAAAAAGGAAAAATAAAAAAAAATTGTCAAAATGAGCCCCCGACTTATTGTTTTAATCCCAAAATTTATAAAAGTATTAATTTAGTCCCAGACTCTTTAAATGTGGGCAAAATAATACCAGGAGAGCACTATTTTAACCAAGGTTAAAAGAGTCGGCGAACTAACTCGATATTTTTATAGACTCTAGGACAAAAATAGCCGAATGTAATAGCCAGGAACTATTTTAGCACTTTACTTGAAAACCAAAGAAACAGATAGAACCATTTTTTCTAAGTTAAAAAATAAATAAAACCACATTTATAGCCTTAGCGACGTTACCAGAAGACGTTTCCCAAGCTGGATTTCAACCTCAGTTCCAAAAGATATATTACTAGCCAAGGATCGAAGAGGATCGACAGTAGGATCCACAGAAAGCAAGCTAGGAATCTGAGGTGCATAAACCAGTCTCCAACGTGCCTGCCCAAACTCTCCCTTCCCTTCTATTCTTGGCATCAAAGTTTCGAGAGTCGCCGTAGCAAGTTTTTTGAAAGCCAGCTGCCCATCACCTTCCAGCAAAGATTCTGCTAACTGACTCTCAAAAACCCTTGCAGCCTGCAAAATGCAAATCTTCCTTATATCTGGAAAGAATGGCCTCATGTACACAAATTCTGAATTATCAAATTTACATTCCTCAATAAAATCACTCAACAGCTAAATTGACAATATTTTAGCGTTCTACATGTCCAATGGTGAAAAGTTGTATTAATTTTAAGCATGAGAAAAGTATTTGAATGATATCCTGACTCTTTATAGGAGGCCACTTTAGTACCAAAGTTCATAAAATGTCAATTTAGGTCCCGATTCTTTTAATATAGGTTAAAACAGTCCTTATATAGCCCACAGTAAAGACTATTTTAGCATCTATTAAAAAAGAGTGTGGATTAATTTAACACTTTTATAAACTTTTGAGACAAATACGTGGATTAATTTAACACTTTTATAAACTTTTGAGACTAAAATGACTCCATGTAAATAGTCAAGGGACTATTTTGACACTTCACTCGTTTAAGCATGACGCTTCAAAAGAAAGACAAATATCATGGGTACTAGAGCAAAATTATATAAGCAAAAAGAAGCACAAAATCATGAAACTGATGAATCGATCTTTTTCTAGCCAGAGTCCTTTTATTCAGTTTGAGTAATCTAGCAGTTGCTTAAATTAAATTGTGAACATTAATGTAGAATCTAAGCCACACATTGTGATCTCACCATTCCGTATTGCAGCCTGCATGTCTCAGAGGCTTAGGGCTGCTGCGGGATTGGGAGCTTCCCGCATGTCTCTAGGACCCCCATTATAGTACCTTGATTTGTAGCGGGACTCGTGGCTTGGACCGGTCCAGGAGGGCCAGCCAACCTTTGACGTGGATCTTCCTTCTGTTTGGAGCGAGCCCACTCCTATTTAGCCCAAGTCTATAAAATATATTGTTTTTGTGTTTTAGAGCAGTTATTTTTTATGTTTTCTGTCAGATTAGCCTTCGACGTCCAGGTTTTTCCTTTTAGGGTTGTATCCAAGGGAGAGTGGTGCTCCAGTTATATCCCGTCCGAGGTGCGACTCTACTTCAAGTGTCCATTGTTGCCCTGACTGTACCTCACTCTCGAGGTGGTGTTTATCCTTCTCCAACTCCTCCGCATCCCTCTCGCTTCGCTACTCAGTAATACTTCTCGTTGCAACCACCTCCCATTTGTCTTCTTGTAGTTACTGCTCTTCCAATTGGCGCCTGCTCACTGCCAACGACCTAGAATCATTCCTCCGGCACTCCTGCAGTTGTCCCAGCCACCCGCAACCTTCCCTCCTCCTTCTCCCAACCATTTGCATCGCAATTGCAGCACCTTAAGCCCCTCACCTTGCTGTCCACTGCTCATCCAGCCGCTTAAACCGCAACCCTGCAGCCTCACTGCCATTCCAGTACTTTCCCTGCACTGTTATTGTTGTTCCAGCCACCCAAGACCATTCTCCAAGCTGCCTCACTGTTGTCCCAACCGTTGTAACCACCTCTCCACAGCCTAGCTGCTGTTCCCACCACCCAGAACCTCCGCTAGCCGCTGCATCCTTGCTGTCCAATCCGCCCCCACCCCCTACCCCTTGCTACCAACTCTACAAGCACTTATTGGAGACCACCACCACACGAGATCCACCCTAGTTAAGTGTTTGTCTGGTATTTGTTGCTATTTCAAATTTCTAGGTGACGTATTTTTGTAATTTCCCTTTCAAGTCTGTTTGATTGTAACCGTCTATTTGTTTTCAGTAATAATATTTGTTTTTCCTATTGTGGTTTGGGTTAACTCCGGTATCAAGGGCTTTTTGGTCAATCTTGTCAGGGAAAACTACTATGAAAAAGTCTCCTTTTAATTTCGCGGTGGAATAGAATTACAAGATTGAAGAAAATTAGAACAAAAATTTAAATACAAAAGTACAATCAAAGCAACCAGAAAAACACACAAGAATTTTACGTGTAAAAACCTGAGAACGGAAAAAAAACATGGAGCTATACTACCAGAAATTCTACTATAAAATTCAAAAAGTTTTACAAAGAACTCACACACGAAAAAACATACAAAACTCGCACCAACAATCTTCACTCTTCGATCCGACGCAAAAATTAAGCCGAATCACCAAAATCCACCTCTTCGAGAGTCCTCACCTCACCGAGATACTCATCCAAGAATTTAAAAAGAAGAAAACGACAAGCTCACCGATCCACGATAATAAATTGGCTTAAAGACTAATTTTTCGTGTAGTAACCGCATCAGGCGATTAGGCCCCCAAACTTCGCGTCTAAGAGCCAAGCGCTTTGTATCAGCGCCCCATAATGGACGCCAAAGCATATGCGTAGGTCTCTCGGGAATAAGAGCAACACCCTATCACACTCCGCTAACTTCAAAGAAAGTAACAAGACAATCATGGGATGAAAGATTCTAGAAAAGACCAGATGAAGGAGAGTAATCCAATTAACTCTAAAAGATTCCACCGCATTCTAGAAAATATTAAAAGAAAGAGCTCCAAGGAAAACTCAAGAATAACCTAGAAAGATCTAAGGCTCTGTATGTATATAAGAGAATGAAGTAAAACTATCTAGAAACTAAATTATTCTAATGTAATCCAGAAGATTCCCTTAGACTTGGCGGGGACTACAAATAGTAATCCATCCCCTTGTTTGGATCCATCTAAGGTTCTCAAACATTCAAGTGTTATAATCACTTTCTTAGTGAAGTGTTTATTTCTCCAATTCTTCTTCTTACTCTTCTTCCTAAAGTGCTTTGTGCTTACAAGCTCAAACGTTGTGAGGGTTAACCGATTGCGTTAAAGTCGCACGGGTGATTTCAGATAAGTTAGTCCGTGACAGTTGATATCAGAGTCTCGATTCGAAGGTATGACAAAGGGAGTCAAAGAGCACATAATGGATTCTGAAGCCACAATTGTGGAATCATCTTAATAAGGGCGAGGTCGTCAGGCAATGAGATCTAGCTGCATCCAAATCACATGGGAGGTCCAAAGAGATCATGCACAACTTTGATTCGTGCCTTGCTCGGGTGGAGGAATTGAATGACATAGAGGCCCAGATAGAGGACCTTGGCCAAAAAGTTGATGGACTCGAGGAGGAAGACATCACAATTCATTCGACGATCAAAAGAAAAATGCTCCAATTAGAGGAGTCCTTAAGAGACCAATTGACAAAGATGCAGGAGAACTTAAAAGGGGAACATCAGGAGGTACGAAGAGCCCATGAAGACGAGATGAGCGTTGTATGTGCTAGCTTGGAGGAGATGGGTGAAGTATTTCACTATGCAAGAGGGCACTAGCAACATCCCCCAACCATCATACCTTTGAAGTCAAACGTATTGAGTTCCAAAATCAAAGAGATTTAGAGGAGCTCGCAACGCGAAGAAAGTGAACAATTTCTTATGAAGACGTAAGCAATACTTTGGAGCGATGGAGTTTACAGATGAAGATGCAATAATTCAATTTGCAACCATTTATCTCTCAGACATCACTATGTTGTGGTGAAGAAGAAAACGATGAGATATCAAGAAAAGTATGTACACCATATCCATCTTTGATGACTTCAAAAGGGAGCAAAAGAGACAATTGTACCTGAAAACATGGGGGATGAGACTAGAGCTCAATTGTGAAGGCAGAGCAAACGAGATTGATTTAAGAATATATTAAGGAGTTTACTAGCCTGATCATTGAAATTCCTGACATGTCTGGCAAGTAAAATTTGTTCAAATTCATGGATGGGCTCCAACAATTGGCAAAGACTGAGCTTAGAATGCGTAGAGCACAAGATCTCGTTACTGTCATAACCGTTACGAAAAGCTTGGTTGATTATATAAATGAGTCTACAAAATCAAGAAAAAAGAAGAGTAACTATGTCAAAAATGGGGAAGACAAGGTTCAACACAAGGAAGAGACCCGTCAAGAATCGACCCCATCTAATACAAAAGACAAGGGGAAGTCTAACAAAACCAAAACTAAACTACAAAACTGCTTTCTTTGTGGAGGACTTTATTGGGTAAGGGTTTGCCCTCAGAAGAAGGCTCTAAACTCTCTCTATGCAAGCCATCAAGAGGAAGAAGGATGTGATATGACAGCACAAGTGGGAACAACACAATTGCTCAACATGGTGCATTCCTCTCCGAAAACTCAGCAAAAAAACTTCTCTTTGTGGAGGTGATTATAGGTGGGACACTTACTAAAGCAATGATAAATACGAGAGCTTCTCACAACTTCATCTCTATTGAAGAAGCGAAAGGGATGGGTCTGCAAATAAATAAAGGAGGAAGCTCCATAAAAGCAGTCAACTCAGCACGTAGGCCAATCCATAGACTGGCCAAAGGAGTGAAGACGTGTCGAAGATTGGTGAATTTCTCCATCATTCCTGTGGAAGACGTCGAGATAATCCTTGGTCTAAAATTCTTGGATCAAGTGAGAGTGTTCCTAATGCCATTTGCCAAAATCATCTGCGACAAGGAGGACAACCAAGCTTGCCTAGTACGACAACAAGGACTCGGAAGCAAGAAGCCAAAATGCTATCGGTCACTCAATTCAAGAGAGAGGAGAGCTACTTGGCTGTTCTTCATGACTCTGATGAAAAATTGAAGCCTCAAGAAGACATGTTAAGAGAAGTTGTGGCAGTAATTGAGGAGTTTAAAGATGTTCCACCACCGGAATTACCAAAAGAACTACCAACAAAAAGGGAGATCGATCACCAGATCGAGCTAGAGCCAGAGACTAAGCCATCGGCAATAGAAGCTTCCTGCATGACACCTATAGAACTGACAGAGCTATGCAAACAATTGAAAGAGTTGCTGGAGGCAGGATTCATTCAAACATCCCCCATATGGTGCCCTGATTCTATTTCAGAAAAAAAATGGCTCCCTGCACATGTGCATAGACTACCGAGCTTTAAACAAAATTACCGCAAAGAACAAATACCTAATTTCTCTCATCGCTGACCTTTTTGATCAACTGGGGAGCGCAAGGAACTTCTCAAAATTGAATCTCTGATCATGCTACTATCAAGTGAGGATAGCAAAAGAGGATGAACTGAAGACCACTTGTGTGACCAGGTATCAGTCGTTTGAATTTTTGGTTATGTCTCTCGGGCTAACCAATGCTCCTACTATATTATGAACATTGATGAACAAACTATTCCAACCATACTTGCATCAGTTTGTTGTTATCTACCTGTATGACATAGTGGGTCTATAACACACACTCTAAGATCATCTGAGACATCTCCGAGAAGTATTCAAAGTACTAAGAGGAAATAAACTATACATCAATAAAAAAATGCTCATTTTTCAAAGAAGAAGTGATATTCTTATGACATAAGATAAATGATGCAAAGCTTATGATGGAAGAAAACAAGATCAAGGCCATCCAAGATTGGGAGTATCCTACCAAGGTACATGAGATAAGAATAGCAAGGTGAAACACTGAAGTCAGGAATTTGAAACCAGAAAAGACAAAAACAAACCCTAAGAAGCAAACAACAAATATATAATAGATGATAGAATAGCAACGGGAGGCCCCTCCCCTTTAGGCAACAAGGTAGTTACTTTTGGGCGGCAAGCAAAATAGGAAAGGGAAGCCCTCTCCTTTGGGCGGCAAGACAAGCTTGGACCAATTAGCTAGCCCTAGTCTCTTTGGCTGAACCAATTGGTTCAACCCTTCCATCATAGGTAGGCCTACAACAGGTAAGCCTCATGGCAGAAGGAGTTGAGAAGAAATTAAAAAGAACAAAAGAGTGAAAAGAAATAGAAAAAAAAAAAGGAAATCACAAGAAACTCATTTCAAAGTTTGATGTAGCACATGGACAAATCAAAGGTACCCTTTTGAGAAACTTCTAAAGTTTGTAATTTTCTAATATTTGTTTAATCATTTTTATTTGTTAACTCTTAGAAGCTCTCATTCTTAGTTATCCTAAGAGAGTTGAGGGGTTTCTCTTTTCTTTATTAAGTGAGAGTGCACTCGATTTTAGAAAGAGTTGAAGTGTCGTTTTAGTATACACCACAATTGTGAATTCTTTATAAGTGGGAATGAATCATTTTTCCTCTCGCATGGAGGTAGGCTTATTTAAATCAAACCACATAAATTTTGGTGTTTTTTTGTTGTGTCCGATAATTTTTTTTCGATTACTTGGGATCGATCTATTTTGGGCAGCTACAACAGTTTGAAAAAGCAATTGTGAAGTTGACCACAAAAACTCATTCAAAAAACTATAGTGGTTATTATAATTTTTTTTATTTTCAAAAAGTCATATTGCAACTTTCTAGCAATCATCACACTTAGCCAGATCAAGTTGCAAAATGTAGTTTTTTCCACCACAGCTTCTTGAGACCGTAGACAAAACACAATTTTGCCAAACACCCAAATGGTGCGGTCCAGAGCACACCACACTGCCATTGAGGCCCCAAATAGAGCCTTAGTGTTCCATTATATTTGCTCTTGAGTTGGTGCTTCCAGGTTAAATACTTTTTTTTTTTAATAAAAATGCTCAAAAATAGAAGTTACAATGTAAATGAGAATCACTACAAGCACAATACCCTCCTTCAAGAAGCGATTAATCAAGTATATCACATTTCAAGCTGAACTCTAGCATCACAAGAAAATAAAATGCTACAAGAACACTTACTTCACTAGGCGTGAGAACATCCTGATCCACTGAGCGAGTTGATATAATAAGTAAATTATCCTGCCAGGAACTGGCTCGACTTTGGATCCTGAATTGATATTCGGATCCCACCAATATTAAATCTAAAATAGGATCCAGGCCAAGATCAGGTTCAAATTTGGCAATGTTCAAATGATCACGTTTAAGCCGAACCTGTGATTAGAAGTTAATCAAAAAGTAGCATCCCTGAAAATTAAACCATTAAAAATAAAACTAGAAATTATTTTTCTTTAAGCTATGGTTGTGAAATTGCTAAGGTTCATTCTTTTTTTATTGAAGCATTTACACACAGCACAAAATTCTTATGTATTTACATATCTCACACCAAAACTTTCATATTTATACACATAAAACTTAAATCTTCAAAATCACATAAAAAATAAAACTATTTTCACTTTTTAAAAGTCAAATACACATTTTCATGCATAGATTTAAAGCACCGTAGTAAAAACATAAGAATTGTGTGCTATGTATTCCCTTTTTTATTTAGTCGACAGGCAAAACAATTTTCTATTCTGGGATCATTAAAGAAGTCAACGAACCTGAGTAGCAACTAAATTAACGTCTCCATTTTCGAACATCAAGACCCCTTTAGGTTTAACATACTGCGGACAAGCTATTCCATTAAGCTCAAGTTCTCCACTGACAGCAAAGTTCAGGATTAAGGGGTAGACTATTCTTAATTCTGGTCCAAGGACTAACTTCAGATCAGTAAGCCTTGCATCAATGCCGGGATTAGCATTATTCACCTCTAGTTTCTCAATGTTGGAATGTTTGCCTATATATTTTAAAGAGGTGCAACCAATTGTCAAACCATTTAATATCAGATAACAAGAAGCTACAAAGAAATTTAACCATTCAACAAAAATTTATTCCAATAATGTTCGGCTGGCACACGAAAAAAGTGCAAAAGTTTGTAATTAGCCAGATTGATTGTCACTATTTTCTGGAAAAACTCGCCAGTACAAAATGGTTAAGTTAAAAGTATGCCAGAATTTTTTGTTAACAGTGAAAAACAGGCAAAAAAAATTATTAATTAGCTGGCAGGAAAAAGGAGAAAAGGATGGCCACAAAAATAACACAAAAAAAATTATAAATTTATTGTTAAAAAATCAATTCCATTTACAAAATATGCAAGGCTATTCGTAATTCTCAATTTTCAAAAGCGAGATCACTAATGTTCCAATATAAATGAAAAGAAGGGGATCACTAGGATAGAAAACCTGCAGGCTCCGGCCAAATGCTATGTAAGGAACCAGACAAAGAACCAAAAAATCTTGATATATGGCCTGAAGCAGTAGCACGGCTGTAACCAGCAGCAGGGAAGGAAGTTCTTTTTGAAGCCAAACTGTCAGCAACCTCTCCGTTCCCCTTGTCGTGAGCTAAATATGCTTCTCCATGGCTCAACTTAAGAACTCCAGAGATATTTGGTCGCAAAATAGAACCCATAATTTGGATTTGGCTGTCGACTTGGCCACTAAAATGTTTCGTAGGTCAGAAAATAATCTAAATGATAAAAATAAATGAAACGCGCACACACACATCTATATAACTATGAGTGTACATATACATATACATATACATACATATACATATATATACATGTGTGTATATTTACATATACATAGATGTGCGTGTGTAGATAAATGTGTTTCTATATATATATATATATATATGTGTGTGTGTGTGTGCTATATATATATATATATATATAGACACACATAGGAAAATATCTTGCTAAAATCATCTTAGAATAACCTGAAAAAATTTTTCATGCGCACTTCTAAGAAATCACATTTCAGCTCAATTTTATCTGTAACAAATGATTCGCTTGGCATTAGAGGCAGATTCCCTTTGAGCAAAAGCTTTCCTTTCCTGCCCACCCTGCTTTCCACAGAACTGATGCATACCCTGTTTGATATAATATGAACAGTACCTCCAAAATTAGTTAGTGGCTTCCATAATGCCGGTGAAGAAACAGTTGCTCTGTGAAACGACGCATATCCATCCACGATAGGTTGTTCAACGGTGCCTGTAACCTATTTCATGAATAAAACAACTAAAATTACAGAACAACTATATCATATCTAACATTTTACATCAAAAATGTATTTTACAAAAAAACAAAAACCCACCAGATTATCATCATAGCACCAACTATACGTTATACACAATAATCATTTTAGAAAGCATAAGCACGCACTTTACACAAGATAAATGAGAAAAGTGTCAAAATAGCCCCCTCACTCTTTGCAGGGAGTCATTTTAGCCCCATAGCTTATAGAAGTTACTATTTAATCCAAAGATTTTTTAAATATTGGCTTAAATAATTCCCACAAAGTACTATTTCATCCCCAATTTAAAAGACACGACTAATTTGTTAATTTTATATACTGTGGAATTAAAATGACCCACATAAATTGCAGGGGACTATTTTGGCACTTTACTCCAAACTAAATCGTAGGCACCAAGCAATATGCTATGAGCGGCCTACCTGAAGGTCAATATCAGCAAAACCATGGAGCCAGTTGGCGTATGGAGACAAGGCTGTTAACAGTAACATTCCACCATCCTTAATATTTGCATTTATTCTCACCTCCCCAACGTCTAGCATATTCCAGTTCAAACCTTTGAGGCTTTCTGCTAACTGAATATTCCAACCCTCTTCATGTTTTTCTCTGCTACCTTTCTTCTCTGCAGTTTCATCTGAGGAACCTCTTCCATTTTCTTTTAGCCAAATAGGATTCCTCAAAGAACCAACTGAAATATCTCCTTCATTTTCTTCTGCATCTGCTGAATCATCCTGACTGTAAGTCACAGGAATGCTACCTTGAACATGAACATGTCCGGTTTGAATCACGGGTTCGAAATGTGCATTAAATAAGAATCGACTATTTTCTGTTACTGAAGCAACTATGTCAGCTCGTCCAAGATCGATCCCTCCTATAGCGCCATCTAGGAGCCTTATTTGAACATCACACTTGGGCTTCACCAGGTTTCCTCGAAGGTCTCCTTCCATGTGCAAGATACCTTTGATGGGTAACAATACTTGGCGCAAAGAATGTACTGCATCAGCAGTTGAGGATTCGATAATTTGAACCAAAGTTGGGACTAAACTGACGGGAAAATTAAGAACAGCGAAATGAAGATTTGACACTGGTCCCAACAAGGACCCATCTGCATGAAGAGTTGCATTCTCTTTTTGGATGAACAATTTTTCAAGACGCAAACCATTATTATTGCTGTAAGCACCAGAAGCTATAACACGCTGAGTTTTGTAAGTTCCCCACTCCCAATCTTCGCCATTAAAGTCGAAGTCTGCCTGCAAAAAGTGACGATCAAAAGTACTCATTTGTCACTTACAATGACAATTAAATGAACCGAGAGAATAGCGGTTTCAAATTGGGGTTGTGGGCTGGGGCTCTAGTCTAAAACAAAAATGAACCGACCTGAAAAAAGCTTGAGCCAAATCTGACCTGAATATTAAACAAGTCAGAAAGTCCGACACGAACCGGACCAATATAACTCATTTAACATAAGACATAACAACTATTCAGGTCAAAATCGTGTTGAATTCAAGTCAATCTCGGGCCAATTTCAGGTTGGCGAGTCAATTTTGAGTTAGCGAATAAATTTCAGGTTGACGGTACCCAACCTAAAAAATTAAAAGGGTTAGGATTCCTAAACCCGAACTCGACCAAAATATTTGTTAGGGTCAAAACCCCGGATTTTTTGAGTTGGGTTCTGGTTGAGTTGACATGTCGGGTCAATTTTTTATATCCCTATGAGAACTGAAATATTAATGGAAAGCTTGGATGAGCTATGTTTTTAATAGAAATTTTTCGTTATGCTTACCATTGTATCACCATTGCCACCTCCACTGGCATCAAGAGAACCACGCCAATGACCCTTAAATTCAGCTAGTCCTGGGAGTGTAACTTCTTCTAGGATATTATCCTCTGACCATTTATAATGGTTTTGTATTTCCTGTAAACTTAGCCATCAAAAATAAGAATTGATTTTTTACAGTTTAAAAACTGCGCATAGTTAAAGAATCATAATATTAAGGACCTCAAGCAGATCACGAAGGCCTTCAGCATGAAATCCATCAGACTGAAGACACTGCATAAAAAACTCCTGAGAAAAGAAAAAAAAATAACACAATAAAACCAAATGAAAATCATCTAAAGCATATAAAGCAATTACTTTATTTTTATTTTTGCTGTTGATGACCAAAGCAGGTAGATCTAAACATAAAATCCTTTATCATACTCTTAAAAGTGAAGCGTGATTGGTAACTAAATTAGGCCTGAGCAATATAAAAAGATCAGAGAAATCTCAACTAGAAAGACGAGAAATATTAGAGGTGGACCAATTCAAGAAACTGTTCCTAGTGGCCTCTCTACTTTGCTATTTCTTATGGGAATGCTCCTTTAATTTCTCCATGAGAATCTGTTGACATTTTTTTGGGTGTAATGCAAGGACCTAAAATATCATAAACATTTGTGTCCACAACTAGCACATGTCTATTAATATCAGGATTTTAATTTCAGGAAAAAAAATCCAAATGGCTTTGGCATGGCTCTCACATGGCCAGGGCATATTAAAATTGCATGAAAATTTGATGAAACCCCATCCTAAAATAAGTTATTGAACATACCAGGTTAATGTGAAAGCTGCAACCAGACTGTAAAATTTATAATTTGTCTTAAAGAAAAATTATTTTCTGCACAATCCTAAAATGAGAAGTATACTTTGTAAATGATAAAATGATAAATAAATGCTTACATAATGAAAAAGATTTCTAGCACTTTTCAATGTATCATTTTTTTTTCCTCCAACATATCTCATGCTTGATTTTTCTATTGACGTTTTAAGCATTATATTTTTCTGTGAATGTTATGCCACTTTTAAATGTGTGCCCAAGTTTCACATTTAATTAACATTTTTTTATGAAAAAATTGAAATTCTAAATATTTAATACAAACACATCCTATGACAAAATTGAATATTGCATAAAAAATACTTCAGATCCTTTGTCGGCATTTCCTACAGTTACAAGGTTTTCATTTTGCCATGTTGTTCGTCATAGCTTCTAGGTAAAAAGTAGAATAATAAGTACCATGATGAACATATAACCTTTGATCTAGACTGAACAGCAGGGTCTGTACTTCGTGAAAGGAGCCTCGCAAGAGGAAGCATTTCAGAAACTTCGGCACCCGGAACTTCGAGTCTCATTCGCCATCTCCCCATTGAAGAAATCACACTCCCAAGATGGCCAGCCATAGCTCTTTTAAGTAACGCGGCACCTTTTTTTTCATTAGTAAACCGATCACGTGTTCCAGGCAAGACATATTCTCCCTGAAGTTCATATCTGCTGCTACTTTGTTGCAGAATAGTTTTTTCAACGGTAATCTGCGAATTTCAAAAAACTGCAAAAGTGATGAACCAAAAAAAACTCACAACCAAATACCCATTCCAGTTGATCTGATTGGTAAATAATGGTAGAAATGGCCAAGATGAGACAAAAAAGTGTAGCACTGCGCAATGTTTAACAAGAAAATGAAGAATTTGGATAAACGAATAAATTTATAATTCCATATATCAAATCATGTTGAAATAACTACACATAGATCATGCATTTCACTTGTCAGGCCCGTCCTTAATACATCCACTCCTCTTTTCAAACACTATTGGAAGAAGCTGAAATGATTGAGCAAAAGCTCCATACGTCGCAAGAAATTCTAAGATCTTGATGGTTGTCTGAATATTAAATTTGTAAAGCTTGTTCTTTAATTTTAATGTCGATGACTGACTTCCAATACTTCAAAGATCATGACTTTGAGAACTTGTTGGCACCTAACTATGACTAATAAAATCAACATAAAAGAAAATTAACAGCTGTGATAAAAAAAAAATCAGAAAAATAGAGCCTACAAAGAGGGAGACAAAGCTGATTTTAGCTTGGGAATAAAGGAGGATAGAGAGTAAGCATATGTGCCTAGTGCTTGTTGGCATCTTAACTCATTTAGTAACTTTTTGAATTAGCATTCCTTCACAAATTCCCCAAACAAGTGTCTGGTACTCTGATTCCGCACTACTTCTAGATATCCTTGTTTACTTGTTACTCCATATGACAAGTTTTTCGCATCCATAAGATTAATACTCGTATGTGAATATTATGTTCGTGAGTTCACCTACCCAACTAGCATCTACGTAAACTTTTACCTCCATGCTGTCTAATTTCTTAAACAATAACCATCTGTCAGAGATCTTCATAAGAAACCTCAATATTCTGTAAATCATCTTCAAAAGTTCTTCACTTAAGACTATTTAATGTTGATTCACAATGCTGATAGAATAAACAATATCAGGGCTAGTGTATGACAGATCGATAAGTTTTCCCACCAATCTCTGATATCTTTCTTTTTTTCACTAGTGTCTTTTCTCTCCCTGAATGTAACTTTTTGTTGAAATACATAAAAGCCATAGTAGGTTTAAACCCCCTTCATTCATGTGTCTTTTAGTAGGTTTAGGATGTTTCTTTGGGATATCACAATTTATTTCTTAGACCTGACTACTTCCATGCCCAGAAAATAACGCATAACTACTAGATAATTGAATTCAAATTCAATGGCAAGAACCTCATTAATCTTCCCAATCACTTTTTCATTATCACCTGTGAGGATCAAATAATTTACATAAACAATGAGTATAGCTTTCTTACCTCGCTGTGTATGTTTTATGAACAATGTATAATTAACTTGGCATTGAATGTGCCCATTAGATTTCATAGTCTTGAAAAACTTGTTAAACCAAACCCATGAAGATTATTTGAGGTGATAAAGTGACTTTCTTAGTTTACAAATTAGATATTTACTTGAGTCATTTTCTAGCCCTAGTGAGATCTTTATATACACTTCTACCTCAACTTCCCCAGTCAAAAGACATTCTTGATATCAAGTTGATACAGTTTCCATTTTTTCACTGCCAAGAAAAGAGCTCTTACAGTGTTTGACTTAATCACTGGTGCAAAAATCTCTTGATAGTCTATCCCATAAGACTAGGTGAAACATTCGGCCACCAACTGAGCCTTGAACCTCTTAACGCTCTCATCTACTTTGTAATTGACATTGAATACACATTTACACCCAACGAGTATTTTATCTAGAGAAAGCTTTGCAAAATCCATGTCATTTAAATCAAGTGCTTAAATCTCCCCTTCGTCTGTCTTTTTCCATTCTAGATTTTGAAGTGTTTCATGAATAAACTTGGCTATCTGCACACTATAAAATAAATATAAAAGCTTTCTAAGGTGAGGATAAGTTCCCAAAGGCAACATACTAGATAGAATAATTTGTGCAACTTTTTCAAAATTCTTCACTAGATGTGTATTCAAGTTTAATTTGGGTAGTTCTGTGGTTGTATATTTTCTTAATCTTGCTTAGTAGATTTCTTTCTCCTAGTGTAAACACGAAATTTCTTGTGTGTTTTCTTGTTGTCAATCTCAAGTTGGATATCCTCTAGTGGTGGAATTTAGGAGAGATGGGATAGAGGGAAATAGAATAGGTTGTAATGTTTCTCGTTCAGTGTGAGTATTCAAAGTGGTGTCCCAAATCTGATATTCATTCAAACTCTCTCCTTGAGGAATAGTAGAATTATTTTTCAAAAATATAGCATCCATGAAGTTATAATATTTTTTTAGTAATGAGAGAATAACATAGGCACCCCTTTTTGTTAGAAGCATAATTAAGGAAGATACAATTGATCGATTTTGAGTTAAATTTTGTGTGGTTTGATTGGTGACTGTGAACAAAAGAGACGGTCTAATATATTTAGAGAAAAATTGTATGAGAATGCTCTACCATGAGGGTATGTTTCCATCAAAACATGGAGAGGGGCTTTGAATCCAACGACCCTGCTTGGCATTCTATTAAAAAGGTAAATGGTTGTGAGCACTACATCTCCCTAAAAAACTTTTGGGACATTGTGAGAAACCATTACAGATCTAGATATCTCACAGAGATGTCTATTTTTCCACTCAACTATCTCATTTTGTTATGGAGTCTCAACACAAGAACTCATATGGATGATACTATTCTTCACAAGGCATGGTCCATAGATCGAGTCGAAGTAGTTCTTTGTATTATCAGTTACGAGATAAACCATATGATTTCACTGATGGTTTTCAATTTTGAGTATCCTCAAATTTCACTATGGATGATAGAGAAAGGATGTGAGGGTTTATACTAAGACAGAGGATATACATGACATGTATATTTAACCAATTGACAAGTTTCGCAAAGATAAAACTTGATTTTTTTATGAATAAAGGGATGGGGGTACAACTTTATAACATAATAAAAATTGGGATGACCCAACACACAATGTCATAATAAAACTTTACTAAAAAATATGAGAAGAAGATGGTAGAAAAAACACTTATGTTAAGAGAATAGCTCTCATTGAGAAGATATAAACCTTGATGCAATTTAGCACTGTCAATCATCTTCCCCAAATCGACCACCTAAAATTCATAAGATTAGAATAAAATTTAATAACACAATTCAAGTCATGAGTAAGCCTGTTAATTGAAAGTAAGTTGCAATCTAGTTGGGCAATATTATAACACAAAAAAATGAATATTTTTATAAACATTTGAGGCTAAACCGGTTCAATCTGTTTCAACAAGGGATTGGGGGTTGAACCGACTCGCCTCCTCCCACTTTCATTGGGTGGGAATCCATCCCTCTTCCTAATTTTGTTTCCCGCCTATCCTGCTCCTACTTATATGTTATTTGTAGAGATAGTGTTCAACTTATATTATTTTCTTATTTCAGTTTATGAGGACAGTTGTCAGCGTCCAAGTTTCCCCTCGACGATTGAAAGAGTGGTGTTTCGGTTGTATCCCTCTCCTCGGTGGTGATTATCTCCCTAGACAACCACCTCTCCCTTCCCTCTCGGCCGCCAACCCCCGCTCTCAGTAGCTTAACACAACCAACAACCTCCCAAACTTGGTGCGGTCACCTTCTTACGAACCCAAAGTGTCGCTCATCCCTGCTGGATATCCTAAGTCGTCTGTAGCCTATTCTCAGCCCCCTACCTCTCCCCTATTCCCGAAACTACCTTCCAAATTACCTCCATACAACCATCCCCCGCGACAACTTCCTTCACGCCGCAACCTTAGCCCAGTCCTCCTTCCAACCTCAGCTCCTCCAGTGACATTTGCCTGCCTCTCTTCCTCCCATAACCTATCTCCCCCTCTCCCATGAACCCAGATCGGGGCCACTGTTCTCAGTCGTGACACTCAAACCTGTTGCTACCTATGTCCCTGTCATCCCTTCCTTTCCTTGCTACTACACTCCACCCTGGTCACCTCCCCACATCAGCCACACACCTGCACCCACAAGTCCCCAACCAACCTTCCTACATGTTGCCCAGTAGCCTACCACCACCCTCGTCATCTCCATATAGTGTCTTTTATTAATTGTAATTGTATAGTTCGGATGCAGAGCGTCTTTGGTTGTAATCCTATTAAATTTCAACAATAATATTTTCATTTTATTTGTGATTTGAGTTTCCTCCGGTATCATCTGGTCTTAGAGCTAATTCAATCCTAGTCTCATCCTACTCAAGCCACCTCCAAAATTTTTCTTTCTTATTCCTAAGCCTTAGCCAAAATTTTGACCTAACCCTAATGTTCCCCTGTTGATTTTCAAAATCAGCAACCATAAATTACTTTTCCTATAACTTCAACGAGTCTCCTACACCATTTGCCACCTCCCAAACCAAAATCCTAATCATGCCACCAAGTAGATACATGCCCAAGCCTTCGCAGGAAGAGATAAGATGAGAGATCCAACAGCTTCAACGAATGCATATAGACATTGAGGATGAATCCAATGAGAGATTACCCTCGACTATGATTTAGATAGTCGAAGGGAAGAACGAGAGAATCTGGGGATGAAACGAGAGACACAGTATCAGTTCCTACCAGCTTACTACAGATAGAAACTTCAGACTTTAGCTTCAGAAGTTCAGAAATCACAGCATCAAGCAACTACCACATTTTACAGGCAGTGGTCAACCTTAAGATCTTATAGCCAAAATGCACCAAGGGGACACCCAAGATGACCCCGTCAGGGGACACACTGACTCAGAGTAGAGAACATGTGAAACCCGGTCGCATCCCTAGAACAATCACAACCAACAAGTTCTGCAAGTGGCACGGATTTGTTTGAGGTAATGGGCAGTCCAACAGTGTATGAGATTATGGAGTCTTGAACTAGCATTTTGCAGACTTTGAGAGGAACATCAGCAGGGTCGACCTTGAATGTCTACAAGGGTTGTAAGTTTGAGGAGCCGACATCGCCACAGATAAAGGAAATGCAGATATTTTAGATTTATAGACTCCC